TAATACACGAGTTTCACAATTTGAGTTGAATTACTGAAATAAATGAACTTTTCCACGACATTCTAATTTATTGAGATGTACCTGTATAATAATTATATTATATTAATGAAAGTTATCACATGGTGTTAAAATAATTTTTAAAAAATTCTTACAATAAAAGGATAATGTTGTTTGGACCCTACTGAATATATCCTTTATATATATATATATATAATTATATATATCCTAAATATATCCTTTTGTGTTAAACAGAAGAAAGAAGGTCAGGTTTGGACCAACATGAGCGTAGGGTGAGTAAATGACAGAATGTTCATTTTTGGTTGAACTATTGATTTACAGCTAAGAATATGAATAGTAAAACAATAAGATGATATGTAGCTCATTTACGCGATGCAATGGCAACACCTGTGATCTCCCTGATTTAGATTTGAGAGTTATAAAATCATATGTAAAGCCAAATGTTAAAAACTTGGGTGTTATAATGGACAGTGATTTTAAACTGGATAAACAAATTAATTCCGTAATTGAATATAGTTTTTTTTTTTTTTTTTTCCTAGTTGGGCAATTATCAAGAGTCAAGTCTTTTTTGTCTTTTAGTGATTTTGAAAGGGTCATACATGCTTTTATCTCGACCCGCCTTGACTATTGTAATGGCCTCTATGTAGGTATCAATCAGGCCTCCCTTAAACGTTTACAGATGGTACAAAATGCTGCTGCTCGTCTGTTAACAGGGACGCACAAGCGCGAACAAATTACACCCATACTGGCTTCTCTTCATTGGCTTCCTGTTCGTTTTAGAATTGATTTTAAGGATTTAGTTTTAGTTTATAAGTCATTAAATGGACTGGCACCAAGTTACCTTTCTGATTTTTTTTTTTCCCTAGTTGAGGCAATTATCAAGAGTCAAGTCTTTTTTGTCTTTTAGTGATTTTGAAAGGGTCATACATGCTTTTATCTCGACCCGCCTTGACTATTGTAATGGCCTCTATGTAGGTATTAATCAGGCCTCCCTCAAACATTTACAGATGGTACAAAATGCTGCTGCTCATCTGTTAACAGGAACGCACATGCGCGAACAAATTACACCCATCCTGGCTTCTCTTCATTGGTTTCCTGTTCATTTTAGAATTGATTTTAAGGTTTTAGTTTTAGTTTATAAGTCATTAAATGGACTGGCACCAAGTTACCTTTCTGATTTAATACAGCCGCACGATCCATCGAGAGCACTTAGGTCCGCTGACCGTTTACTCTTGGTTGTACCTCAAACAAGGCTGAAAAGCAGGGGTGACCGGGCTTTTGCTGTTGCAGCCCCAAAACTTTGGAATAACTTGCCTCTATATGTTAGGCAGTCCCAAACACTTGCCGTTTTTAAATCCAGTCTTAAAACTTATTTTTATGCTGTAGCATTTAACGCAGTATGAGAGCTGTTTTATGTATTTGGTTAGTGTTATTGTTTGTTATTTTTGTTATGTGTAAAATTGTTTTGCTTTGTTTATGCTTGTACAGCACTTTGCAAAACAATTGTTGTTTTAAAAATGTGCTCTTGTCACGTGTTGGTGCTGTAAGGAGCACAAGACGACGGAGAACTCCAAATAACAGCCCTTTAATAAATCCACAGAAGAAACACTGGAGAAACTCAGGGAAAATGCAGCACAACCAACATCTAACATCAAACAATAACCAGCAAGGACTGAACAGAAACGGAGAGTACTTATACAAAAGCAAGAGAGGGACTAATGACTAAATTAACAGGACACAGGTGAACAGAATGAACTAATCAAGAGAACTAAGGAAAACTAGGTCAACGAACAAAACTAAACAGGAGAACAGGAAATGAAAGAAACACAACCAAAGTCCATGAACGGAACATAACTGTGACAGCTCTATAAATAAACTTTGATTTGATTTGATGCAAGTTTGCAAATCTGGCTTGTGTCATTCCTAGTCCCTGTAGCGTCTCGACCAATCTGACACACTAATTTTTATTTGATTTAACAAATCAATTATTCATTAGATTAACAAATTGCTTTGTTTATGCTTGTACAGCACTTTGCAAAACAATTGTTGTTTTAAAAATGTGCTCTTGTCACGTGTTGGTGCTGTAAGGAGCACAAGACGACGGAGAACTCCAAATAACAGCCCTTTAATAAATCCACAGAAGAAACACTGGAGAAACTCAGGGAAAATGCAGCACAACCAACATCTAACATCAAACAATAACCAGCAAGGACTGAACAGAAACGGAGAGTACTTATACAAAAGCAAGAGAGGGACTAATGACTAAATTAACAGGACACGGGTGAACAGAATGAACTAATCAAGGGAACTAAGGAAAACTAGGTCAACGAACAAAACTAAACAGGAGAACAGGAAATGAAAGAAACACAACCAAAGTCCATGAACGGAACATAACTGTGACAGCTCTATAAATAAACTTTGATTTGATTTGATGCAAGTTTGCAAATCTGGCTTGTGTCATTCCTAGTCCCGTACTTCCTCTTCTTCTCTTTCTCCCCATTTTTTGTCTTCTATTTACTATCAATGAAAGTGTCAAAAAGGTGAAAAGTACAAAACATAAAAATGCATGCTTATATTCTGTGATTCGCATCCCATGAGAATCTTTATTAAATTAATGATGACTTGCTCAAGGCGAGTGGCTCGGGCTGGAGCTGTGATAAAGGCAGTGATTGGCAGTCCCAGCGGATGAATGCATTCTTTCTCTGAGGGGACAAATATATATATATATACTGTATATACGCTGTATTTACTTATGGTCTCTGAGGGATTTAGAACAGAAAG